GGAAAATACAGACGGCCCTCACTGCAGGGTCTCTTCGTGGATTTGGTGGCTTTGGCCAGGGCTTACGGCTTTCAGGGGGATGAAGATAGTTAGTCCAGATAGTATGGCTGCCTCCCTACTGTGTTCATTCCTGACTTTCCTTTCTCTCAGGAGAGGCACCAGAGCCTCTCTGTCAACCTGTTTACCTAGAGTTGAGCCAGGTGCCTGGAGGTTCTCTACCTTGATGAATACTCTGAACCTAGGCTGTAGTCCAGCCTCAGGGGCTAGAGTCACCCCTGCCTTTGTGGATTTTGACTGAGAGACTGGGGCATCTGTCCAAGGTCACACAGAAAGCTAGTGGCAAGCCAAGCTCATGCGTACCCTGCTGTCCTGAACACAGCAGCGAGATTACAAGGGTGTTCATGCAAGCCCCCGACCTTCTACTGTCAGGTGTCTCTAGCTGAGAGGAGGCTGGGCATCGAACTAGCAGTTCTTCCTGCCAGCATATCTCAGCAACTCCATGCTGCCGTGCACCCCACAGACCCTGGTGCCAGTCACAGAGGAATGGTCTCAGAAACTCTGAGCACCTGTGTGGTTTGCCCAAGTGACAGGAAATCATAGCCTCTGGGGACTGGATCATGGGCTTTCTCTGGGCCGAAACCAACCTTGGCACCTGGCCCCTTAGCGGCTGAACCTGAATCACAGAGCCACCCTCAATGTTCTGAGATAATTTGGCCACTTCCCTCAGTCACACTTGAGACTGACCTCCAGCCTGAAGTGGTCCTCACAGTGGAGATGAGCTGGAAGTGGTCTGAAAAGCATGGGGCAAAGGGTGAGTGTGGGGAGGGCTGTAGTGGGTCTGCATGCTGGCTGCAGGCACAATCTGAAGCTTCACAGCAGAGTAAGGTAGATTTGCAGACTCTGTACAAGGCCTGCCTGGGCTTAATTGTGGTTACAGCTTGATGCCTATTTATATTCCAGAACAGTAGATCTTTATCTTTCCCAGTTTGTTGAACAAGTTCATGGTCTGAAGGTTTGGGTTGTAGGAAGCTGTTTGGATTGTGGGGTAATCCCAGTCACCTCTAATAAATGGTTCAAATAATTAGGGTTATGGTTAGAATTGAAAGTGGGTAGGGGTTAGAGCTTGGTAGCCCAATGTGGCAGCATTTCAAGACCTGAGTGACTGGTGGATCCCCAACCAGCAAGGCCTCATGCTTTGGGGATGCGAGGGTGTTAATAGTTGGGGAGTGGGCTATTAGGTCAAGGAGATGCTTGGAGAGTGTCCTTGGGTTTGTGAGGGGCTCAGTAAGCCAGGAGAGGGGCTTTGAAGTTAGTTGTTTGCTGGTTGAGATGAAGCTGAGGGTTTGGAAATGTTCTGAGCCCCCATGGGCCCCCTAGCCTGGTCCAGGTCCCCCACTGTGCTGAGTCCTCTGTGAGTAGCCTGAAATCCCCCGTTCTCCTGAGCCATTTACTAGGGTTGACTCTTCTGTGACTGCACTGAGTCCTCAGGTGGGGCGGCTGGGGGGAGGAGGGTCCAGTGAAGTTAGAGCTGCAGTAGAAGCCCAAGTAGGGAGGGCCTTGGACCTTTGGATCAGGCGTGGACGGGTGCCGAGTGAGGCTGGGGAGGGGTGTCTGGGAGCAGATCTGATGTGAGTTTTAAAGGACACAGGGAGGAGAGGAGCGGGAACAAACTGCACTGATGGGGCTCCTGCCGCAGGTCCCCTGGTGCTGGAAGCACATCGAAGGGGCAGATGAGGGTGGTTTCCCACTCGCCTTCCTGGGCCTCTCTGCCTGAGAGACCCCTGACCCTCCAGGTCAGAAGCCTTGGTTATGGGGCCAGCAACCCCAGCCCCTTACCCCTCTCAGTCTATCAAGGCCCCAGAGAGACTGAACACTGTCACAACTCTTACCAGCATTTCCTTACCCCAGCTTTATTAAGGCAACAAGTGCTGATGCATCAGTTACAGAAATATTTCCTCAAGCACACCCCTACCATTACCCACCCTCAGCCCCATCTGCTGACCCAGGGCCAGAAAACTCTTACCCCACCCCGGCTGTAAATTGTTCCTGAGGCTCCTCCAGCCCCATCTCCTGAAGCTCTCAGGGCATCAGGACGTGAGAGGACGAGGTCTCAGAGGATGCCCTTGATCCTTTTACAAGATTTCCATCCTTCTATAGATATGACAACACTCTGTAAAGCTTCTTTGAACTTTGAGAAGTTACTTTTCTCAGTAATACAGTTGTGTCCTGTTAGCTAAATAAGAAACACCATAATTAAGTTCTCTTCTTAGCAGAAAAAAAAAAAAGTAAAAGCAAACTCTGTTCTCCCAGCCATAAGGGCCCTGTAAGACCCATCTATCTACCTAGGAGGTAACTCAGGCAAACCCTCCCCATCTGTCTTCACTGGGCACCATCTGGTGATATTTGAGCCCCAGGACTGAGGATCATCCATTACTTTAGGGAGAGACCCAGCAGAGTGTGGGGAGGTCTCCTGGCTTCCCAGGACAGAGACACAAGGACGTGCAGGGTGGGAGGACACAGGAGACAAACAGTAGGGTGGGCAAAGAGCAGGGAAGCTCAGTCGTTTCCCCACAACATCCCCCCCTAAGCCACTACCCATCCCCACACCGTGGGTTCCCAGTGGAGTTCCTTAGCCTAGGAAGGGGTACCAAGAGCAAGGCAAACCAAAGCCAGTTAAGACTCGCCACCTGACCAGGATTGGCCCTAAGTGCCCTTCCCTCTCCCAGGCTGTGTCCACCCTCTGACCTGTCCCATGCACACGGACTTGGCAGAGGGTAAACAAAAATGTCTAGAATAACCCCTGAATCCCCACTCCCCTAAGCCTCAGTCCCTGTCAGTGAGTGGACTTCTTTTGCATGACAAAGTAGTATATGAAGCCTCACATGTAGCAAATGGGGGCCCCAAGAAGCTGTTTACCCCACTGGGCCTCCGGCTGTGGTGGCGAGAGAAATGATGTCTCAGGTTCCCCTAAGAACAACTTACTTTCAGCTTTGGGCAGATTTCAGTGAGTTGCCTCATGTTCTTACAGACTTTTTCTATGTGACAGTCATTCTTGTGTTTCGTAGAGATGTTATTCAGGGTGGAGATGAAACCCTCTATAAACTTCCCATAGCAGAGTTCCTGAAACAGGGTTGGGGGCATTGAGTTGAGGGTCCGCTGACCCTCAACCTCATCCATTCCTAGCTACCCCGGCCACATGGAACCCTGGACTCAAATTCAGGCCAGGGTAACCAGGGATGGTTGAGGTTTGCAGTGGGTTTCTGGTCTCTCCCTAGGCATGGGGTTGCTCTGGGATGGTGATCAAAGAGTCCAGCAAAACCTGGTTGCTGATTCATCTGCGGCCTGAGCCGGAGACTTCATCTTCAAACTCCTAACTTTCTCCCCAGATTTCTTGACTCAACAGCTTTTGTTCTTGTCTCTGCCCTGGGATTTCCCTTTCAAGTGTGGTCAGAAATGACCATAGGGTGACTGCTCCTTACCTCACTGGTGTTCTGAGGCCTTTCGAAGGAACCCTGGAAGCAGGAAAATTTGGTTAGAAACACAGAGGGCCACTGAGAGCTAAGTGATATTTGATGAAGACCCAGACTTACCTTGTATGTAACGTTGTCAGCCATGAGTTCTTTCTCAATCTCAGCACAGACTGCCGTGTGATTGTCCTGGGTAGACCCACTGACTATCTTCATCGGGGCGGAATGGCTTTCCAAGACCCATGACACAGAAGCCAGGAGCACGTACAGGTACATGGTATGACTTGAGGGTGGCTCCAAGCTGATCCGAACCCTGGGCTTGATAGCATTTCTGTGAGGAGATGTACCTATATATGAGAGTCTGAGGAAATGCTACATCTCTTATCAGTTATCATTGGTTTACGTGGAAGACAGCGAGGATCTACGTTATCTCTGGGCAAGATGTGTTTTTCATGCTTTGACTATGACTACATCATACTCTGTGGATTCTTGTCTTTGCTAAAATTCAGGTTTGGTCTAAGAATTTTTATTTATAATAGCATCTAAAGTCATGACTTTTCCGCCTGTGTGTGGGGCAGGTCTTTGACCAGGACTGGTGCTGTCTACAGTTGATGGCCTGAGCAGAGCAAGCAAGTAGGGTGGAGAAAAAAAACAGGCAGGAGCTAAAATGCACCAAATAAGCTTCCCCAGGCCCACCCGTCAAGGTAAAGGCTAGCCATGCTGCCTGCTTGACACTTAGGGAGAGATCCACTTCCTCACAGACCCCAGAAGGGACCCTGGAAGACAGGTTCAGGAACAAGGCCTCCAGCCCCATTGACAAAGCAAGTAGAGGAAGGAGAAATACTGTTTTCCCAGTCTGAAGGCCATGAATTTGCGGGGAACGTGCCGGATTGCATGCAGAGCTTCATGTAAAACCAAAAACCCACTCAGAAAAATGCCACACGAGAGCCATGTATCAACAAATTATGCACTTACATTCTGACACTCAGAGATTAAGATCACCCATTTGGGGGAAAGTTTGGTAAATATGCTGAGCTCTGACCCCTGTGGTTTGGTTTCTTTTTCCCTGAACAGCTAGTCTATCTGCTGGTTCACCTTGGGAGTGGTTGAAGCCCTGAGTATGAGAGGCAGGGCATGGCCAGGGTCTGGGCCTCCGAAGGGCCCATTCAGCCAGTGACCCAGCCAAGCCTCAGGAATCCCCCACCTGCCCAAGAAGGATGATGACCCTTCTCTGGAGCAAGATTCCCACTGTCTTGGTTACTTGGCCTTCCAAGTGAACCTGGAAACCTCTCTCTGGGGTGGGAACCTTTGAGCACCCAGGGAAGCATGTCCACGTGTGCAGAATGTCATACTCGGGTGGGCTCCCACCTCCACTGTGCTCTGACAGTGCTGTCTGTCCAATTGTGCCTGATCTGCAGGCCCCAGCCCCCTCCCCCAGCTCCCAGCTTCCTCCCCTCCCTGCCCTGGTCCAGGGACAAGAGCACCTTGAACATCTGCTCATGGTTGAAAACAAACTGGAAAACTGCACAAATAAGAACATACTTTTAATAATTTATTATTATAGAAAAACATCTTGAATAAATATAGGGTATGAGCTTAAATAAATAAATAAATAAATATTAAAATACATAAATATATAAATAAATATTACTGATCCCTGCCAGTGTAAAACATTTCCCGTTTCCCCTGCCACACCTGTATCAGGGTCAACATGGCCCTGAACAAGTCAGTGTCCCCGTATAGCTCTGGCCCTCCCTGTGGTCCCTCCAGTGTGAAGATCCTGAATTTTGTTTGGCTCTTTGTGGGTAGGAGGGCAGTGATCTGTGAGGTAAGCTCCCAGGCTGGCTTCCGGCTGGTCTGGCCTGCTTCACTTCTGGACTGGTTCCCAGCAGTCAAAGGGAATGATAAAAAGGAAATCCTTCAGGTTCTCTTTGAAACTTTTGAAGGTGATAGTCTGGGTTTCACAGGAAGTTTCCTTAAGAAAGAAAAGGAAAAAAAAACCTGAGTCCAGGCATGAGTGGGTAACGTGGGGGAGGCATCAGCATGTTTCTGTGCTGCCTCTTAGAACTCAACAGGTTAGAAGGCCTGAATGGGGCCCGTCTGCTGACATGGGTCAGGTGACATCTTGCCACTCATGCGTCACCCAAAGGGTGCACAGTGCTGTCAGTGGCAGCTGGACCAGGGGCCCAATAAAAGTGCAAGACAGACGCTGGTCTGCTGGGCAGCTGGGCCACTGCATCTTTGGTTCCAGGCCAGGGCACAAAGCTGAGCCCCAGCTGTCTCTAGGAGCCCAGAATGAGCACATTCCAAGGCCATAGACCTCACTTTTCCCACAGGGAAGGAATGTTTGGGGCCTTTTTCCATTCCGAGTAAGCGTTCCTCCTTGCTCCGATGCAATCCAGGCAGCCCGGGAGGGACCAGGGGAAAGTCCTTTTAGGAGGAGGCACTTGGGCCATGGAACTTCCTCTGGGCCTTAGGCAGGTCTTGAGTTTCCTTGTAATTTGCCTCACCTCTGACATCATTAACGGTAATAACAAGCGAGGTAGCAGCTCCCGCTCGGACATGATACAGGCTCTTGAGCTCCAGGACTTTAACACCTAGAGTGGTTCCCTCTCAGGAAGAGCTGATCATTATAAATCTATTGATTCAAACCATTTGGGGTCCCAAATGCCCACAGCCAGAGGTGTCTCCCCACTCTTTCTCTGCCCTCCTCGAATGAGACCTTCCTGCTTGGGGACCTGATGGGGGCACTCACCTGGGTGGGGGGGCAGTGTTGCTCGTAGTGCCTGGCCATCATGGTCAGGGAGCCCGTGAGACTCGTGAGGCTGCCCCGCAGGCCCTGCTTGTACAGCTTCAGGCGAGTCTGCAGGCATGTCGGCTCCTGTGGGAAATATCCATACCTTGGTGAGCAGTGGCCGAGTGTGCTCTGGTGGGCCCAGGACATCCTCCCCATCACTGCTCCCTGTTCTCATCCCACTCTCCCAAGAGCAGGGTCTAGGAGGGGCACAGGATTATTCCTGACTAAGCTCAGGCTAGGCTCTGTCATACACACCGCCTTGTCCCCCCATCCACTGCAGACGAATCTGACTTGCCCTCACCGCTCAGCTCAGGCCACCCCCAGCCGGCACAGCCACATTCCCATGGTCTGGTATCTCAAGAGGGTCCCAGCCCCCAGAAAAGGAGATCGCTGGTCCTCCCGCCCTTTAGGGGGAAGGGGGTGGGGGGCTTGCCCAAACCTGCTGTGCGAACATAGTTGTTCCTGATGAAACCCTTCTGTGCCCTTCAGTGGCCAGCACGGTGTCCACAGGGCTTGGCGTCAGGGCACAGTGAGTGTCCCAAGCCCACACCCCCAATCTCATGACATAACCCCCACCTGTCCCCTGGTGACCCCTACACCCTTGAACACTAGGTCTGTCCATGGCTGCTCAGCTAATAAAGGAGTTCACATGACTGCCACAGGGGCAAGGCCTCCTAAGCAACCCTCCTTCTGGCAGGCAGCTGGCTGGAGAGAAAGTGGACAACCCTTTGAGGGTCCATATAAACTGGAGTCAGTCCCCAGGGCAGAGGCCTTTGCAAAAAGGTGTGTCAGAGAGAAAAATCTTACCTGGGAGTCAAACATTTCAGAGACGACTTCTACTGTTTCATTCTGTAGAAAAGGAAAATGTTCTGTTATCGAGCTGACAGGCAGGACTAGTCCAGGCCAGCAGGGTGGCCCAGGCGTGGCCTGTGCTCCCTCCCTCACTCACCATCACAGCAGCAGTGTCACTGCTGTGGTTCAGAAGGCTCAGGGCCTCCTTGATGGCATCCACATGCTGCCAGGGCCGGATGACAGGGCTGGGTGGGCGAGTGGGTGCGGAGAAGCTGCAGACCACAGTGCCCAGGAGAAGCAGGTTCTGCAGCCACATCCTCTTGAGGACTTTAGCCTTTCTCTCTGAGCACTGGGCTCACTGGCAAAAGAGCTCTTATATACACAGTTAGAGGAAATGATTAATGGTGACCACAGAACGCCAGGGAGGCGGGGGAACTACCTGAACTGTGGAATCTCCTGGCCCTTATCAGCTACACATGGAACGGTGAGCCTTTCCCCAAGGTGGTCAGGCTTGGGGGTTTTCACTAATGAGCCCTTCCAAGAATTGGCAGCCCACCTGCCTGCTTTCTTGAGCATTCTCCAGCCCTCCCCAGCAGTCTGACCTGCCAAGGCTTCCCCCTCCCTCTGAGGGGCCTCTGGGTACAGCTTGGACTTCCTGGCCTGAAGTGGCCAGGGCGGGGCCTGGAAGACACTGGATTGGGCTTCTACCCCCACCCCCACCCTTGGCTCCCCATCCTGCCTGTGTCCCAAGAAGCCTTTGGGCTGGCTGAGCTACACTGGGGCCCATTCCGACCCCAGTCTCCCCTTCTCCTCCTAGAGCCCACAGCTCTGGCCACAGTGAGAGACTGGAGTGTGAGGAAGACTCTCACAGGCCTGCCTCACTGCCCACCTAGGCAGATTCCAACCCAATGACATGGTCCTGAGACAGCTCACCTCAGCTCCTACCAAGGGTCCAGAGCAGTCAGCAAGCTGTGCCCATCCAGGGCCCTCTGCCTCATAGCTCCTGTGAGCTGAGGGAATAACAACCGTATGCATGTCCAGCCAGAAAGATTCCAGAATGTTCCTCCGCGGTGAAATCTCATCTGAAAGCAACAGTCCTGGTGTACAGAGCCATATGCAGCTCCCAAGCTGCATAGGTGGGTTGGGGCTCTCAGCTGGGGTGGGTCAGGGTTCTGAGTTCAAAGCCTGCCTCCAACACCACCTTGCGGAATGACTCTTCTGAGTTGCGTGAACCTCGCTTCCCTCTGCAGGGCAGACTGTCCCCTTTGAGGTGGGCACTGTGCTCCTATCTACAGCCTCTTGCAGGCCCCAGCAGGGTCGTGGCTGCATCCACAGGAGGTACAGGGGACAATGGCTCCTTAATCAAGGTTCTTGCAGGCTTAACTTCCTATGTGGCCCCACTGCCAGCCCACCTCCAGCTCAGCAGCCTCCCTGTGGAACAAGAACTGCTTCTGGAAAGGTCATAGGCTCTTGAGGGGCTAAGAAGTGTTTGATTTTCACAATGGACTTTGGAGAGGATGGCATGAATTGGTGTTTACTTCCCCATGCTGTAAGTTTCATGGTTGAAGGGGTATGGGTCCACACACTTCTGTATCTTGAGTGTTCATGTGCCAGTGTGGTTGCTGTCTATACTTACAGATGTGTCAGGAGGGGAGGATATTTTATGTGAGGTGCATCTATGTGAGCCCCCATGTCTCTGCAGATGCCTCTCTGAATAGGGGAGGAACTCCCCACATTGGATAATGATGTCTCAGGGCCCCAGATGCTGGTTTATCCTTGACTGATGGTGTCAGACATAAGCAAGGACATGCTGCTGAGCCCCAGTGGACAGCCCTGGGGAGCAGGTAGAACTCACTGTCTGAGCACTGTGGCCCAAACCTGCAGCCCTGGCAAGTTTCATGGCATAGTAGGAGAGTTGTTATCCTTGTACAGGGAAGCCAGGCCTTGGTCATCCAGACCCCCCCAAGGTCCCTGCCAGGATCTGGGGCCCACTGTGAGGCCAACCTTACTCATTTGCACCTGCTAGAACATTTCTAGGTGGCCAAACTGGGGATAAGAGTGTGGCATGTTCAAACCTGGCCCTTCCTCTATTGTTTCCTTGAAACCTCTGCTCAGGCCCTAACGGGGAGCATTCAAGGGGGATCAGAGGGTCAGGGACACTGGGTGAAGGTCCCACACAGAATGGAAGTCTGTGTCAGACAGTGCCCTGAAGGCTGTGTGGTGGGAAACAGGGGCCACAGGCTATAGCTAAGCTTGTGGCCAGGGAGGCAAAGAGCTGGTGTGGCCCCTCTGAGATGGAAGGTCACTTTCCTCCTTGCAGTGAGTTGTCACAGCTCAGACAATTAGTCAACAAACTCTTCTAGTCTGCACCAAGCCCTGTGCTAGTGAGGAGGAAGTTGAGACCCTCCCACTGGTTGTTTCATCTAGCCGTGAAGGCTTTCAGTTCTGTAGGGGAGCAGTGGACCCTCCTGTTGTATGATCCAGGCTGGGATGGAGGAAATTGAGAGCTAAGGAATCTCAAGGAACCACTTCTTCCAGCTCAGTGGTCAGAGGGCACCAGAGACTTTTCCTGGGAGATGCTGCCTCCCAGTGCATGCCGAAAGGGCAAGTAGAGTCAGGTGGCAAGTCAGGTTGCCGGAGGGAGGAAGAGGATAGTTTGGGGGGGAGTGTCTTGGGCACAAACAGAGAGGTTTAGGAACAGGTGTGGTGAAGAGGGGCTTCCCTGGTGGCTCAGAAGTAAAGAATCCGCCTGCCAATGCAGGAGGTGCAGGTTTGATCCCTGGGTTGGGAAGATCCCTTGGAGAAGGAAATGGTAACACACTCTAGTTTTCTTGCCTAGGGAGTCACATAGGGACAGTTCCTGGGGTTTCAAAGAGGTGACACAAATTAGTAACCAAACAACAACAACAACATGGTGAAAAGGAGACGGGTTACACAGTGTGCTGTGGAGTGTAAGCAAGGAGGGTTAGCGCTACTGTCCATGTGCCCAAGGTGAAGACCCAGGGGATGAAAAAGCAGATCTGTAGGATCTGAGGGCCCTGTTATCTGAGAAGAAGGGCTGATGGCCAGGACAGTAGTGTTTAGGGGCCAGAGGCATGATAGCTGGGCAAGAGACTGGCCCGTGGTCCTGGGAGAGAAGGAAAGGAGGAGCAGGAGCCACAAGGAGAGGTCCACACCAGCAGGGTGGCCTGTGGGCGTTGAAGTCGGCACACAGAGGACAGAAGTCCAGGGGTTTGACAGTGCGGTTCATAGGCAGCCACGCATCTTTCTTCTGGAAAGATGACATCAGAGCTGAGGCTGTGACATGCTCAGGCATTCCTAGATTGCACTGCACGGAAAGTGGCAGCGATAGCATCGCGCGGGTACACTGACTCAGGGCCCCCAGTGGGACTGTGGGAGGGTGGGGATGAGGATCAAGATGGGCAGTGTGACTCTTTGGCCCCTTCCCCACACAGTCAGGAGAAAACCCTCTGGAAGGGGTTTCCTATGAGTGTCCCTCCCACAGACTCTGAGGGAAATTAGGGGCTTGTGGTTTCTCTGGCATTTTTTTTCACAGAGGAAGTTATCACAAGGGAAGGAAATGGGCCTCAGGGTGCCTTGCATCCTATGGGACCTTTGCACGAGCTTCTCAGCTGATCTTGCCCTCCCTGGGCCTGCCACCCCTTGATGGGGGGGTGGTGGTGGTGGTCCTTTTCTTCCCTGGGGACCTGAGAACCAGGAGAGCTGTGGCCCACCCAGTTCATACAATCACTGATGGCAGAGATGGGATTTGAACCCATATCCATTCCTGCTCCTCTGATATCTTCTATCTCGGGGATCAGAAAGCCAGGAAATGCTAGTCACCTGGCTAGACCAGCAGAGGGATGTCCCCCTCAGGGCATCTATAAAGAAAGACTCCTCCAGGTGTTGGTAGGGAAGCTAGGATGGCCTGTCACCATCCCCAGGAGGCCCAAAGGCAGAATTTCCCCAGCAGAGACTGACATCCAGGCATCTCTGTGTCTCAGGACTAAACTCTCCACCGCTGATCCCTGGGTAGCCCAAGAAAGCCCCTCCTCCCCAAGCCTCAGCTCCCTCATCTGTACAATGCATTTAATTATTGCTACCTCACATGGGAAATTGTTGCTTGTCCCAGGAAACTTCATGGGAGAATCCTCCCAGGTAGGAGGCATCACTTTGGGAGTTTTCTAAAGTCCAGACAGGGCAGGGGACTCAGCCTTACTGGAATTTGCAGGGATAGCTACTCCTTGTCCAGCTGCAGCCCAGAGAACATCTTTCTCAACACATGTGGCAAGGTGGCAAGCCCAACCACCACCCAGGCTCTGGGATCATGGGGGAACCCTCAGGAGAACCCAATGTGGGGACAGCACTGTGAATGGCTCGCCCTTCCTGAAAGAGATGTTGCTCTGAAAGGCCAGGCTGTCCTGGAGAGCTGTTGTGGTCCTGCTCTCTGGGTATCCCAAGACCCCTGGCACTGGCGAGTTTCAATTGGTCTAGGGGAATCTGAGGGTGGTTAACCCCCAACCATGTGTTTGTGAACTCTGCATCCATATAGCCCACCTTCCAGGGAGGTGGGTGTGTGGCTGACCTCACAGCCCTCTACTCTCAGAGCTCACTTCCGATGCTCATGTTGGGTAGGGGCAGGGAGGACAAGGACCAGACTCATAGGCACAGTGTTGAGGGTATCAATCAAGACATGCCCAGAAAGTGAACAGCCCGGAGGGGTCAGTCATGAAATGAGAGTGAAGCAAGCTAAGAGAAAGCCTTGCGGAGACTCACTAGATGTGTGGGTTGGGGTTAGGAGGTGAGTGAGGAACCTCTGACACTCGGTGTTCTAGTTCAGGCTGCTGGGTGGACAGTAGGGCCATTTGCTGTGATGGGGGAGACCCAGAGTGTCAGAGAGGTTTGGGGAGTCAGTCCAGACTGGACTGGATGTGGCAATTTTGAGAGGCCAGGGGAACTTCAGAAAACTCACTTGTGGCCACATGGGCCCAAAGGTCAGAGAGAAGTCAGGGCATAAGACATGTGGAAGTCACTGGTGAAGAGGAAGTTCCTGGCACCAGAGTGCTGCACAGAGTGAGCCAGGCCTTGGGCAGTACCCAGGTGTGCCAACTTTAAGGCAGGGCCAAGGATGATAGTGGTCTAGTCGCCAGGATTCAGCACTTTCACTACCGCAGACCAGGTTCGATTCCCGGTCAGGGACAATGTGTTTCCTGGGGCTTTCCAGGTGGTAGTGGTAAACAACCCGCCTGCCAACACAGGAGACATAAGAGACGTAGGTTTGATTCCTCAGTTGGGAAAATCCCCTGGAGGAGGAAATGCAACCCACTCCAGTGTTCTTGCCTGAAGAATCCCGTGGACAGAGGAGCCTGGTGGGCTGCAGTCCATGGGGTCCCATAGAGTCAGACACGACTGAAGCAACTTAGCACCCAAGGATGACGAGATGTCCTTTTCAGTTCATTCCTTGGTCCATGGGGCTTCTTTGCTATTTCCCAGCACTGAACAGCTATATACTCAGGTAATGACACCCCAAGTGTAGGTGCATCAGGCCTTCCCTCCCCCAACTTATGCCTCTCACCCTCCCAGAGGACCCCCTCAAGGGCTAGAAATGCACCCCCCACCTGTGAATCTCTGTCCCTTTAAGGTCTTCCCC